CACGGGCCCTTGCACCCACTGGCGGCTGCAGTAGGAGACGCTCTCAGATTTCCCCCCACCCCAGCGGGGGCGCGGTCGGAGCAGCACCAAGCACTACCCACGTGCAAAGGGCAGCGGGAATCCGGCCGACTCCCCCTCGCACGGCAGCGCACACGGGAACGCCCTGCAGGGAGCCCATCGCACGTGCCGGCAGGCAGCGGGCACAGCGGAGCAGTGCAGATGGGCTAAGGCACGGCGGCTTGGTGGGGGGGAGGAGAGGATCTCGGTGCCTCGGCAGGTTCCCTTTGGCAGCGTCCCGAATGCGGGAAATCCACCCCGGTCAGATGAGCCACATCGCTCTGCCACCGGGAGCCGGTCTGCCTCCTTCGGTCACTACACGTCAGAGAATCACAGACACTAGAACTGGCAGGGGCCGCGAGAGGCACTGAGCCCAGTCCCCGGCCCTCGCGGCAGGACCCAGCACTGTCTAGCCCATCCCAACAGGCGTCTGTCCAACCGGCTCTGAAATATCCCCAGGGACGGAGATTCCACAGCCCCCCAGGCAACTTATTCCAGGGTTTGACCCCCCTGGCAGGCAGGGAGTTTTCCCTAATGTCCGACCTCAACCTCCCCGGCTGCAGTTTCAGCCCCTTGCTGCTTGGCCTGTCCTTGGAGGCCCAGAGGAACAATGTTTCTCCCTCCTCCCTGTGACACCCATTTAGATACATGAGAACTGCTCTCACAGCTCCCCTCAGTCTTCTCCTTTCCAAACGAAACAAGCCCAGTTCCTTCAGCCTCCCTCCCAGCTCCTGTTCTCTAGGCCTTTCGCCATGTGTGCTGCCCTCTAAGGAGCTGGCTCTGAAGCCCCTGGCGGGTCTATGGCAGGGCCCAGGGGAAGAACGCCTCCTCCCCGGCACTAGAGTCTCTCCAGGTCTGGGAAGACACCAGGAGCCCTGGCCTAGCTGCAAGGCCTCTGGCCCAGCGCGGGGTACTCTGCTCCCCATGGCCGCCCAGCTTGCCCAGTGCGCGGTGGAAAGGCTGCCAAGGGATTTGCTCCAAGGTCTGCGGGGACAGGAAGGTACCCGGACAGGGGAATGTGCCCAGTGCACACGGCGAGAGGGCAGGAACACGGCTCCCCCCAGACGCTGCTCCCGAGCGGCACAGCTCACCGCGTGGGTGGGCAGACCGGGCCCATGGAGGAGACACCAGGCTCAAGACGCCCGCGCTAGCACCTGCGACCGGAGACGCCCCGGAGAACACACAGACACGGGACAGCGCCCGGAGTGGCCGCGTACGAGACAGACGTCACGGGAAGAGACATCGGGGGCTGCGAGCGGAAGCAGGAAGGTGGCGGGAGACGCGCTCGAGGGGCTCTGACCAGCATTCTAGGCCAGCGGTGAAAGCAACTTAAAACCTCTGACAGGTCCCGTCCTAGCGCAACCCGGCCCTGCCGGCTCTTTCCACAGCTCCCGGCTGGCGTCCGCCGCAGCTCAGCCAGAGCCAGGGCGCCCCCCGACTGCCCCTCTGGTCTAGGCCCAAAGCGCGGCCTCCCTCCCTCAGGTCTCTGGGGCTGAGGAATGGCCATCGCATGACCGAGCGCCCCTCAGACCTCCGCCAGCGAGAAAGGAGGACAGGCCTTTCTAGGCGCGTCCTCATCACTGACCCACTCGCAGCCACGGGACTTGTTACTGCGCCACTAACTCGGCCACGCCCGCTGACTCCCCCTTCCCGCAAGGGGCCTCAGTGGCACTGTGGTAAAACCGGAGCCACTCTGATTTCAAAGGCCTGATTCTGATTGGCCTCAGGGTCAGTGAGATCGGCCTCTGGCTCCAGACACGGTTCTTTTCTGACCACGTTTTAAAGAACTGAAATGGCCACAGCCAAGCTGGGGGGAGTCACTAGGGGCCCCGGGCCGTCCTCCAGCAACACTGCCTTCCTTGCTGGGCTCCTCCCTCTTTCCTAATTCTGAGCTAACTGCCCGCCTCCATTCGTGGCAATAACAAGATAAGAACGGAAGACTGGCCACCCCAAGGTCCTTCTAGCCCAGCGTCCTGTCTCCTGGACAGGCCATCGGAGATCCAGTGCCAGCTCCTGGCGCTCAGAGGCCTCCGCACGCCGAGAGCAAGTCAGCGCCGTCGGCTGGACCACGTCCGTTTTTTGCCCCCCTGCGAATGTTACCATCTGTGCAGAAGACGCTGTGAATGGGGTTTTCTAAAGCCCTTGATCCTGGCTCAGCGCTCCCCCCTTCCTTCAAGAGGCGTTTCCCCACGGACGCCAGTGGGAGTGAAATTAGGCCACCGCTGCGCTCGCTTCCCCCGCTAAGTGGCACCCGGCAGGCGCCCCTCCATCTGTGAGGGAACGCCGCCAGCGCTGGGCGTGGGTGCTGGACTCACGGCTCCTTGTTGCGCTCCGGAGAAATAACGCAGCGCGTTAGCGGGGCTTGAGGGGGAAAGCATCTGAAGCAAACACACACGGGAGCGGGTTGAAATTGGGGGGACTCACCATTTGATGAAGTGAATTCTCTTGTTTCCCTGCAGAACAACAAACCCAAAGGGAGTGAAGGCCAAAAATGCCGCATTTCCAGACACGTCCTGGAACACAATAAGATCACATCAAAATGTTGCCGAGGCGGCAAAGTTTACACAACCGAAGCCACACTCTGTCTGAGCAAGGGGTGGCAATGAATCTGCCACCTTAAATTACGCCAACAGAACAACTCCTGACAGCTTTCTGCAGACCGGGGCATGCTGCCTCTCCACAGCCATCGGCAGGAGCACAAAACCCACACTGGCCCAGCTGCATGCGTGAGCAGAAAATGCCACGCAACTCCCTCTGGATTTACTGTGTGGTGCTACCCAGTGAAGTTAGCGTCACCGATTCCCTTTCCTGAATAAACTCGAAACCCTCCAGCTGCCGGTTGTGCAGATCCAAGCAGCACACGCAAAAGGAGCAGCTGATGGGCATGGAGACGTGGAAAAGCAATAACCCGTGTCGTGTCAGCAGTCTGAGCGAATCACAGTGCTTATGCTAATGACGGTAACATGAATTGCCTTGGCACTTGTAGAAAAAAAGCGCCCCGTTTTTCAACTCTGATAGACAGCAGTAGGTAAGACTGACAGTCAGACCGACGCCTGCTTCCTTTTAGCGACTGGATTCTCAACCGGCGCCCAGGCGCCTTTAAAAAAACCCTGCTCCACCTGGAATTCTGCATGCCGCAGGCCATCTCCAGGTTCAGTTCTGCAGGGAAGGCTGATAGAAGTCGGAGAAAGTTTTCAAGCGGGTGTTCGGGAACATCCTCAGCATGAGGGTCTAGCTGGCTTCTTCACTGTTCTCTCAACACGCGTCTTGGTTCAAAACAACACCGGGCGGCCTTACTGGCAGGCAGGCGCTAGCCCAGGGCGTGCTTTGCTTGCACACGACAGCCTGACTGACCTATCGGCAAGCAGGACGCGCCCGCCTCCGGCAAGCAGCGAAGTGCGAAGGAGCGGCCCTGGCCGTGACAGATGTAGCCAGCCGCGGACGCTGGCAGGGGCAGAGCCCAGCTTTTGGTGTGTGGGCTGCTAGTGTGGGATAGAAAGGGAGGGACTGGGGTGGCGGGTTGGCAGAGGAACCTGGGGAAAGGCGGTTAAGGGCCTGGAATGCCCATTGATGCCGTTGGTGCACTGACATGGCTCACGGCAGGGCTGTCAGGGGGAAAGCGGGGACACACGGCGCAGCCCTGTACATGTAGAGAAGGGTGAGGGGGGATTTGTGAGCAGCCTGCGACTTCCTGCAGGGGGTTCCAGAGGGGCTGGCGAGAGGCCGTTCTCAGTGGGGCAGGTGGCAGAACAAGGAGCAATGGGCTCAAGTTACAGTGGGGCAGGTCTAGGTTGGATATTAGGAAAAACTATTTCCCTAGGCGGGTGGGAAGCGCTGGGCTGGGTTCCCTGGGGGGGGGTGGACTCTCCATCCCTGGAGGTGTTTAAGTCCCGGCTTGCCACAGCCCTGGCTGGGATGGTTGAGTCGGGGTGGTCCTGCTCTGGGCAGGGGGCTGGACTTGGTGGCTCCTGAGGTCCCTGGATGCTCTGCAGGAGTGCCGTGAGCTGGCCTGGCTCTCGGGGCGCTCGACTGTGTGAACACATTGGTTTCACTCAGTAGGGCTCTGTCTGCATCCAGGCCGGAAGGGAGGAAATGGCTCCGGCTGTCCGGGGACAATGGCCGGGACTGCTGGCTTTGATGACGCGGTCTCCACCCCTGGCCACCCGTCGAGACTGGCTCAGCCAGGGGTCACAAGGCCCTGCAAACATGGGGCCCTAAGAACCGGGTGGTTCAGGACTGCGCTCTGAGGGGAGAGTGGAGACGCGAGGTGAGGCAGCGAGGCGCACACGCTGCTCCTGGGTTCTAGAGCCCGTCTTCTCTAGCGTCCGGCCTGCTGGAAACGCAGCCCCTTGGCCGGGTCTCTGCAGATCCCCTCACGCACCCCGCAGGGGAAGCAAAGCCCAGCAGCGGTTGGCAGAGACGGGAGGCAGCAGCGCGGCCCTGGCCGAGGAGGGGGGGGCCCCTCGCGCCAGGGGAGGGCACAAGGCCCGGGGGGGCCGCACCCAGAGGCAGCAGAAAGGGGAGGCAGGCCCAGTTGGCCCTGTAACTGAGACGAATCCTGGCGACGGATTGGTCGTTGGGGAGCAGTGTCACAGAGAAGGCTGCAGCCAGCTCCCCATTATAAGCCCGACTGTCAAGAGCTGGGGCAGCCCAGGATAGGACCCAGGGGAGAGAAAGAGTCAAAAGCAACCGTTGCCCTCCCCAAACAACAGGGCTGGGTCATGGCAACTCCAACAGCTGCAGACAGCCGCAACGCCAGGGCCACTCCGTCACTCGGCTAGCCTAGAACGGGCAGGTCAGCAAGTCCAGCCCCTGCCCTCACAGCAGGACCCAGCACCAGCCAGACCATCCCTGACAGGCGTCTGTCCAACCTGCTCTTCAATATCTCCAGGGATGGAGAGTCCACAACCCCCTGGGCAATTTATTCCAGTGTTTCACCCCCCTGACAGGCAGGAAGTTTTTCCTCATGTCCAACCTGAACCTCCCTGGCTGCAGTTTAAGCCCATTGCTGCTTGTCCTGTCCTCAGAGTGCAAGGAGAACAATTCCCCCTCCTCCCTTAGACACCCTTTTAGATACTTGAAAGCTATTATCATGTCCCCTCTCGGTCTTCTCTTTTCCAAACTAAACAAGCCCAATTCCTTCAGCCTTCCCTCCTAGCTCATGTTCTCTAGACCTTTCATCATTCTTGTTGCTCTTCTCTGGGCCTTCTCCAATTTCTCCACATCTTTCCTGAAATATGGCACCCAGAACTGGGCTCAAGACTCCAGCTGAGGCCTACAACAGACAAGTACCCCCATGAGGAACCAGACAAGCCCACTGCACACCTGGAACTGCAGAACTATTGGTGGTGCTATGTGACCCTTTGCCTAACCAACCTCTGGACCAAACGACGGGAGTTAGGGAATATGATGCCGATGTTTAAGAAAGGGCCTGAGTGGCGATCTTGGCAATTCCATACTAGTAAGCCTAACCAGGCCAACTGACAAACCGTACTCAAGAGCAACAAGGAGTCCTGTAACACCTTAGGGTACATCTACACTAGCTCATTAGTTCGAGCTAGGTAGGGTAATGAGGGCAAGTGGAGTTGCAAATGAAGCCTGGGATTTAAATATCCCGGGCTTCATTTGCATGTTCCCAGGCGCCGCCATTTTTAAATCCCCCTTAGTCCGAACTCCGTGCCCGCGGCTACACGTGGCACAGAGTAGGTAGTTCAAATTAAAGATCCTAATTCGAACTACCGTTACTCCTCATTCCGCGTTACTTTTCATACTAGTCGTTGACATGGGACCTTGCCAGAGGCTTTCTGACTGTCCACGTACGCTACATGGACCGGGTCCCCCTTGTTCCCAGGGTTGTGGACACGCTCAAGGAATTCCAACAGATCAGTGAGGCCTGATTTCTTTTTACAAAGCTGTGTTGACTCCTCCCCAACAAATCATGTTCCTCGACGTGTCTGAGGAGACTGCTCTTGAGTATGTGTCAAGTATCAGAGGGGAGCCGTGTGAGTCTGGATCTGCAAAAGCGACAAGGAGTCCTGTAGACTAACAGATGTGTTGGAGCAGAAGCTTTCGTGGGCAAAGACCCACTTCCTCAGATGCATGTAGTGGAAATTCCAGAGGCAGGTATAAATATGCAGGAAAGAATCAGGCTAGAGATAACACGGTAAATTCAATCAGGGAGGATGAGGCCCACTTCTAACAGCTGATGTGGAGGTGTGAACACCAAGAGAGGAGAAACTGCTTTTGTAATTGGCTAGCCATTCACAGTCTTTGTTTAATCCTGAGCTGATGGTGTCAAATTTGCAGATGAACTGCAGCTCAGCGGTTTCTCTCTGAAGTCTGGTCCTGAAGTTTTTTTGCTGCAGGATGGCTACCTTTAAATCTGCTATTGTGTGTCCAGAGAGATTGAAGTGTCCCCTACAGGTTTATGTATATTTCCATTCCTAATATCTGATTTGTGTCCATTGATTCTTTTACGTAGGGACTGTCCAGTTTGGCTGATGTATATAGCACAGGGCATTGCTGGCACATGATGGCGTATATTGCATTGGTAGATGTGCAGGTGAATGAGCCAGTGATGGTGCGGCTGATCTGGTTAGGTCCTGTGATGGTGTCGCTGGTGTAGATATGTGGGCAGAGTTGGCACCGAGGTTTGTCTCATATCTCTAGCCTGAGTCTGGCCTGCATATTTATACCTGCCTCTGGGAATTTCCACTCCATGCATCTGATGAAGTGGGTCTTTGCCCACGAAAGCTTCTGCTCCAACACATCTGTTAGTCTACAGGACTCCTTGTCGCTTTTGCAGATCCAGACTCACACGGCTCCCCTCTGATACTTGACACATACTCAAGAGCAGTCTCCTCAGACACGTCGAGGAACATGATTTGTTGGGGAGGAGTCAACACAGCTTTGTAAAAAGAAATCAGGCCTCACTGATCTGTTGGAATTCCTTGAGCGTGTCCACAACCCTGGGAACAAGGGGGACCCGGTCCATGTAGCGTACGTGGACAGTCAGAAAGCCTCTGGCAAGGTCCCATGTCAACGACGCTAAGAGGGAAGGGCTCTCCTGGAGCAGCAACTGCTTACAAGTTGGGAAGCAAAGGGCAGGAAGAAACGGGCAGTTTTCGCAGTGCTGAGGAGTGAATCATGGGGTCTCCCAAGCACCTGGGGCCAAAACTGTTCAGAATATTCATAGAAGATCCAGGGAAAGGTGTGAACAGCGAGTAGCAAAGTCTACAGACAATACAAAATTACCCAACACAGTTGAGTGCAAAGCTGACAGCAAAGACTTACACGGGGATTAGCTATTGCCCAGGCGGTTGGGGATGAAACCTCATGTTCTAGGTGCCCCTAGACCTCTGACTGCCAGATGCTTGGACTGGACAACAGGGGATGGATCACTTGAAAATTACTCTGTTCTGTTGCTTCCGTCAGAAACATCTGGCACTGTCAAAGACAGGACACTGGGCTGGACGCACCATTCTTAATTTCGGAGGATCTCACAAAACTGCAT